ATTCTATAAAATGACTCCTCATCCTCACAATTAGAGAGGGGCCTCACTCTCACTCTCGGAGGCCAATTCCTAGGCCTGAGATCCCCTCTCTCACCCTCTCGAGCCTCCTCACATCCCCTAAGCTCTAAGCTCTCTCTCCCTCTTCAACAGAGAAATATAATACAATCAGTGTGGACGTAGCCCAAACCTTGGGGTGAACCACGATAACTCTTGTGTCATTTACATTTTATGCGGATTTACGGTCGGATTTACGTTGTACCAAGACCTCCGGTTTTGTGCATCAACAAGAAAAAAAATAACGGTGTCAAACATATGGTATAAAAAGTAGGGAACTTTAACGAAAAACTCCCGATAATGTTCACTTTAACGAAAAACCACATTTTTACACTAAAAAGTCAATCATGGTACTATTCACCTTACCCTTTATTTTGTCCTTACTGTTAAAACTCAAAATTTTCAAATCATTTGCATTAGTTTTCTTTAAAAAGCATTGGTTGAGTACTACATGAAGACTTGGTCACGTGGAAAATGGAGAAAGAAAGTCTTCTTCTTCATTGGAACCAAGGTCCAAGAATAGCAAAACCATTATTTGTCTTCTTTGTGTTCCTCCGCGTCTAAAATTAAATCGTTCTTCTTGTTCTAAATCTTCTATTGCACAATATCTGCACAGCTTTAGTGGTATTCTCTCTTCCATCACCTGCCCAAACCGTTGGGTGATCATGGAGGTCCTCACAAGCGCTCATTCGAACTTTTGGGGTGGTCTCGGGACCACCTGAGTTTGTGAATGAATATGCCCCTGAAAATATATAAATCCTAAAATGTAAAAACAAAGACAACTATACTTACATATAGAAATAGAAAGGAAATTAAAAATATTGAACCGTCACATATTCTCCGGTAACTTGCAATATATATGCAGAGAAAGAATTGAACACTTGGGTAATGTTTTTCCACCGTTGGATTTCCTTGACCTAGTACGTGAAATATTTTACAGTTATTTTAGTTGTTTTCTGTAGCATGCATGTGTAACCTTAATTTGGAGGGTGAGGAATACCCTATGTACTATCATAAAGACTTAAGCGCTTTTCTGTAGCATGCATGTGTGACCTTAATTTGGAGGGTGAGGGATGCCCTATGTACTACAATAAAGACTTAAAGCGCCCTTCAAAGTTGCATATATCATGCATGTGTGACCTTAATTCGGAGGGTGAGGGATGCCCGATGTACTATCATAAAGACTTAAAGCGCCCTTCAAAGTTGCATATACGGAGTGAGTGTGTGCATATGAAGAACTTTTATGAGATGTATAATTGCTGACCTGGCGTGGGGCTAACATAACGAAGGATTCAATGCTAATGAAAATGGAAAGAGATCCTCTCCGGATCTCTTCCACCAAGACCACTGAATCAAGTGATCCAGGTTTTTAAAATTTGATCCAACATCTAAAATTATTATAACCCTTAAAGGAGCCTTTGTTTTTAGCCGTTACATCAAATTTCAAAAATTCAGGTCACTTGATCTGATGGCCTTGATAGAAGAGATCCGAATAGGATCTCTTTCCTAGGAAAACATTGGTTTACCGGCTAGATGTAGGACCTTCCTCATTTTCATCATCTTTACGTTACTTCGAGTGAAACAATGAACATGCATGCATGTTAATTAGGACACTTATTTAAGGGTTAATTTCAATTTATTATTCTTAAATTTCTTGATTTTCAACATTTAGTACATTAAGTTTTTTTTTTTTGTTTTTTTTTCATCATTTCAGAGTGGTACTTGAAGTCAAAATATTGGGACGGTTTCATATATCTGGTAAGGTTGTTGTTAAGTCAGCGACTAACCTGTGGCGTGGCGCCTACGTGAACAATAACTGGATGCCACGTATCAATCTAGGCCACGTGGATATTAAAAATTAAAAAAAAAACAAATTCAAATTTAAAATTAAAGGCATAAATTTTAGGGCTTTAGTTTTTTTTTTTTTTTAATTTTTTTACTTTTAACTGTTAGGTTTTTTTTAATTTTAAATTCTTTTATAAATTTTAATTTTTTATCCACATGAGCCCTATATTGGCACGTGGCGCTTAGTCATTGTCTACCTGGGCACCACGTTACTCACTAGTTAACGACTGACTTAACAGCAACCTCAAACTGTCCCAAAATTTTGACTTCGGCTACTACTCTGGAACAAAAAAAACTTGATAAATCAAATGTTGAAAACTAAGAAACTTAGTAAACTGAGATTGACCATATAAAGTACTCTAATATGTAAAATAGTAAACTTGAACCTGAATCCGAGCCGTTCACACTATCTTAACTAACTTGCGTTATCTATATCCGTTTCATCATATTAATAAATAGAATTTTTATTTTTTGGGTTTTGGAAACTATAATTTGGGATGTGCTTCTAAGTTCCGGAAGAGGATCCTCTCCTGAGCTCAGGATAGGGATCCTCCTGATCAGCCTATCTGAACCGTTCAAATTTAATCCAACGGTTCCAAATAAGAAATCCTTTAAAAGTTATAATAATTAAAACCGTTGGATTAAATTTGAACGGTTCAGATAAACTGATCAGGAGGATTCCCATCCTGAGCTCAGGAGAGGATCCTCGTCCCTAAGTTCCAATCTAGTCTCAACTTCTATTGCCACATCATCATCCCCCTAACAAGACTCCTTATTGGGACGGCCAGTAGCTCAACCAATCAATCTATAATATAATCCTCCATGTGACTCAACCCTCCAACAATTAGTACACGTCACTGTAATTTCTAGGTCAACCCTATTTTATTGTTCCTACTCCCTCGTGATCCTTCAAACTTTTCTCAGACCGCCCCTCCTCTAAACAAAATACAATTATGTTTAAACTAAATTATCATCAAAATTTTGTATGTAGGGGTTGACAATTTACATTACTAGTTATGTGTTTGTCGGTTTAGAGGAAATTAAACTAAATTCCCAAGTCAAATTTAAAATAATTAAGAAAAATAACATAGAAAAGAGCGCTCGTGTGAGTAGCGAACTAGGGTTTTGGTTCCAAAATATTTTGAGTTGTGGCCATTTTAATATCATGTGATGTTATATGAGTGAATGTAATACTGAATATGTTACCGACCTAAAAAGTAATAATGCATATTTTATATATAATACGGGTTAGATTGAAATCACACTGGAAAATCTCTAGTTTTTAAGTTAGGACTAGAAATTAAGGAGAATCCAACATATAACATTTTACATGTGTATATATAATTAAATTAATAGTAATCAGTCATGAGGTGATTAAAAACCATTTAGTACGGTTGTTGAGTTCGGCTCAAGCTCAACGTGACAATCGCACCCAACTATTCATTTTTCAATGCTCGAACGGTACTCACTAGTATTTTTCCTTACTATATATGCGGAGCCACCCTTTCACTCACGAACACACAGAGACAAATTGATTAAGATCAAACAATGGCTATGAAAGCAGTGAAGATCCTGCATTTTCTCTTCTTCATATGCCACTTAAGTCTTCAAGTCACGCATGCCTCCGATGGCGGATGGTATACTGGTCATGCAACATTTTATGGTGGTAGTGATGCTGCTGGCACAATGGGTAAGCTTGAAGAGATTACGTTCTTTATATAGTGCTTACTGTCATTTCTAAATGCTAAATGAGAGCCGCTACGCTTACCAATTTTGTTCACCATTAGACATGATAGTTTTTCATGTATTCAAATTTCGGGTCTACTCTTATTTGTAGGAGGTGCGTGTGGTTATGGAAACTTGTACAGCCAGGGGTACGGGACAAGCACCGCAGCTCTAAGCACTGCTCTTTTCAACAGTGGTTTGAGTTGTGGAGCGTGTTACCAACTCAGATGCAACCATGAGAGTGACCCCAAATGGTGCCTCCCGGGTGGTGTCATCACGGTCACAGCCACCAACTTCTGTCCTCCTAATAATGCTTTGTCTAACGACAACGGTGGCTGGTGCAACCCTCCTCTTCAACACTTTGATTTGGCTGAGCCTGCTTTCTTGCACATCGCTGAATATCGTGGTGGAATTGTCCCGGTACTCTTTAGAAGGTAACATATCTAAACAAGATGAATTCTACTTATCAAGGATTCGATTGACAACCTGACAACATAACATACCAGACCTGCTACTGACGAGAGAAAATTGTAATAGCTTAAAAACACATTTGTAGTGATTAATTAGTTGTAATTTTCTTGTTTAGGGTTCCATGTCTGAAGAAAGGAGGCATAAGGTTCACCATCAATGGCCACTCGTACTTCAACTTGGTTTTGATCACAAATGTTGGGGGTGCAGGGGACGTCCGTACAGTGTCTATCAAGGGTTCTAGGACAGGGTGGCTACCCATGTCAAGAAACTGGGGCCAGAATTGGCAGAGCAACTCCTACCTCAATGGCCAGAGGCTCTCCTTCAAGGTCACCACTAGCGACGGACGCACCGTCACCAGCTACAATGTTGTGCCGGCTGGTTGGCAGTTTGGACAGACTTTTGAAGGTGGCCAGTTTTAGATCATTTCTGGAGAACAATTACATATACAAAAGTGGACTTATATATTCATAAATTAATTATCCATAAAACTGCTTTGCAGTTAGCATCTTTGATTTTGTGAAAGTAAAGTATAATATCACATCAATGATGTAGATGCAATTTTTATACATCCAGCTAAGTATGCCACTATGTTTATATTTCTCTCTCATTAATTGTTTTTGGTATATGCACAGAATTAGAAAATAAATACAAAAAGAACTGGTTACAAACTAAATAGACAATAAAACTAGAGAAACCCCGACAAGAAACTGTATATTTGGAAAATAAACAGAAAACGAACCAGTTCTAAACGCATAACATCAACCACAACTTAGTGCTTCTTTATTGACATCTCAAAAGCCCTCGAGCTTCAATTTTTTTTTCACCAAACCTTTGTTACTAGATTCATTTGTGTATGTTTTCGTTTATTTTTGTTAAGCTTTGCTAAATATATGAAAGAGGACAACTTTTCCACCTTAAGGAACAATTCAATTAATTACGATCCTAGTAAATGAGGGATATAATTGACATTTTACTTACAAATACATCTCAAGAGGCAGCATCTACTCACACTAAAACCACTCAAATACACAATCCTCCTCTCACTCTTTGTCTGTCTATCATACAGCCAAAGTTTACAACCAGGATGAACATCAAAGACACCTCTCACCTAACAAAAAACCACCACTGTGCACATCAATCTTGCAAATTTATAAACTGACTCAATAACTTAGTAACGAATATTTCACTCTTAAAACAATTTTCCCTCTCTCCACGCCAAGCTTTCCACCGGTAACCAGCCAATGACCAGGATGGTCTCGTGGTCCCTTGCTCATCTCCGACATGTCCACAACCTTCACCAACTTGTTGCCAGCGACATGTTCTCTTGAACCTGAACTTGAGTCACCAGTGGATGTTGCTTTCTTTGACTTTTCATTTGGCGTATGATCCCACAAGGATCTCCGTACGGTGCAGCCTGGCAGCCTAGAATATGATAGCTTCATGTACAAGACATTTCTCGATCCAAAGTCCCACACTCCGAGCTGTGCACCAGTGACTATGTAGACACCAGAGAGGTCCCCTATGAAGGTTTCAGGGTTCTCAATTGGTGCAGTGCTCACATGAGAGAAGTTTTTCCATTTTACTGGTTCAAACCATCGGCTGTCTTGCTCTTCAGGTCCTTGCCACTTGGGAGCACCAATTGCCACATCACTGTCCCAATATGGTTGAAGGATCTTTGGAAGAGATGCTAAGTGCTGAAGATGGATACAAAGTCGATTCTGCTTGCTTCCTTCTAGATACAACCGTAGGCCTGTGACTGGCTTCCGTTTAACAGTAACCTGCAACAACAACAACAACAAAGCACATTGTAAAATTTCATTGATGGGGATTACATGACATAACCAAGGAGGATGCGTAATTTTGACAACTAAGGTTTTTTTTATCAAACCATGAATCAAATTCAGACTGCGAAATCACAAAAAATAATGAAATGGCTATTTAGACATCTCAAGGACGTGATGTCCCTCTGTCTCATATAATCCAGGCCCCTCCCAAACAGAACGGAGCAAATTTTTGTCTCATTCTGTCCAAAGACAGATACATGCCTCCTAAAGGATGGAAGAGCTCAGCGAAGAGAGATTGATTACTGGAAAAAGACATACCTGTTCTTGGCTGACATAAAGCTTTTGCCCCATTATGCTGAATTGCAAGGATGGGCAAACAGGTTCCTTTCTTTGATGCCCAATATTTCTATCATATACAGGAGCCCAAATTCGAGAAATTTGAAACTCCAGGAAATATCTCAGCTCTTCTATTGGGGGCTTATCTACAAGAAGAATTTCAAAACCGTTTATCAGGATTACCTTGCTGCTGACGCTAGAGCACACTACAGGAAAAAGAAAACTCTAACTGATCTATGACGATTTAATTTGTCGTACATTCAAGGTAAAGACCAATAGCTCGAGTCAGGTGCTCTTTTCCAGGTATCTCTTCCAGTAGGGCCGCTATAGGAAAAAATGTCATCTCGATTACATCTGGAGAGGAACAGACAGTTCTTGCCCATTGGGTGTGGTTTTGTTCCAGATCGTCTCCTCCCCTTCTTCTGAAAATGACCGTGACATCCTGCATCAACAATAATTTAAGGTAGTAAGAAATAACATCTAGAACTAACACAACTCGGTAGCAAGGTGATTAAATGTTCAAAGGTATGCCAAAATCAAGGGTTGGGTGAGAGTTTACTCTGTACTTCTTATGTATTTAAGAAATGGTAAACTATATTATATGTAAGGAGGTTCAGAGACAGAAGCAACTATATACTTTTTTAAATTTGTTTCTCATGATAAACCATCAAGTGCATCAGAGATACTGCAGACAAATAATAAATGCGTTACATACTTCTTTCCCAGCAAGATATGGTGCACTAGTGGGTTGAGGATATATCCCTTGACTGTTGAATAAACCAGGATCACCACCCTGAATATATATATATAAAAAGTGATACTCAGAAATTGAATTTCAAGTAAAGACGGAGGCTATTAAGTAATAAAAAGGAAAAGAAACAAAGCGGAACTAGCCTTATCATTGAATTTCATTTGACCTGAAGTTCCATTGCTTTCTGTATCTGAGAACCTTTGAGTTCCAATGTCCTGGACATAGTTTTTGATCTCCATGGTAGACAATGGGGATGAATGGTGTTGTTTAACGTAAATTACATCTTTCCCACCAATTGTTACTGATGTTATGACATGGGTTCCAAAATTTTCAATAAAGCTATCAAGAAAGAGTGACCAGTTATTAGGAAACATTTGTAACTATTTCATCACCATATTTCTACTAAAGTTATACATAATCATACCTTGCCAAGGATGCTGGATCCCAACTACTTGGGACAGCCTGTTTAACATGTTCTTGCAACACTATTGGGGATTTGAAAAGTTGGACCTTAGCAAGTGGAATATAAAATCCATCCACACAAAGAGTCTTCGTGGCTGCAGCATCAATATGTTTTGAACCAGTGAAGCTAAATGCAAAGTTGAAACTCCCAAGAGGAAAGCTGCCAGATGCGTTAGACTTTTGATTGAAATACTCAACCATCTGCAACCATTTGCCACGAGGATCACATTAAATAACTTAGGGGTTCTCTCTCACACACACACGCGCGAGCACACACACAGTGTTAAAAGTAAGCCACAGCCTCTTAAAAAAATGCAACAGACATAAATGCTGTTGAGCACAATCACCAATGTCTCAATACCACTAAGATGCTGCTCTTGCTTGGTTGCTAAACTAGCTCAAACAAGTACCTACAAGCTGAGCGTTCAATCGCCCGGCTATTTCCTAGTCCAGTACATTCTTAAAAAGGTTTAACACGTTGTAGCTAGTGCATCGAGGGAAGTAATTTTACGAACATTATTATCACACATGAACTGTGGCAGGACACAAAACATGGAGTCGGAGTCATATCGAGCAGACCATTTTCCATGCCTTTACATTAAACCGGTCCGACGCTAAAAACAAACACATTTACGAAGTTCCATTTAACTTTCTGCAACTACCCATCATTTCTTACTCAAATTTGGGACATATTTCTCAATGAACATCAATCTCATAACTTAAACACTTTCCCTACAATCACATCATAGTAAAATGTTTGAAAAATTGCAACCTAAACCCAATTCACAAACTCTTACAACATCCACCTAAACCCTCAGAGCAAACACAACAACCTAAGTACACAATCAAACAACAATCCCATATATACAACGAAACCGTAAGCATTACCTCATGGAAGCTGCAGACTCCAGAGCTCTGCCGGCCGCCGGCCTCCTGCGAATGCCTGATGTCCCTCGAAACACCCGGTACAACTATCTCATCATATAGGCAGATATCCCTGGTGCAATCCTCGTCAAGCTCCAGAATCCTCGTACCCACAGCTCCCTTACAGTATAGCAACCTTGTATCGAAGTTCACGTCGAAACCTCTTCCTAATGCCTGTACGGAGTTCACAGCTGTGTGCAAAGCTGCTGCATTTTCTCCCATTTCTCATCACACTACTGCCCCAAAACCCTCTCACTCTTCTTCTGATCACGGATGATAAAACCCGACCCCAAATTCGAAACACTAAACCCAGTTGCCTGTTCGGGTTCTGGAGCTCAATTCAAAGGACCAAGTTGGAAACTTTCCCAGAAACCCACAGGGGATTGGGAAATCGTGGCGTTTTCTGAATTGGGTTTTTGGAGATTTCTCTGTTCGACCATTTTCTCGAGAAAGCTCAGGACTTGGTTCTTCGGCTGACTTCTCCCTCTCTCTCTCTCTCTCTCTCTCTCTCTCTGTGTTCTTCGGCTGCTTTGACTCTGAAAAATCTTCGATTCGAACTCGATATGTCGAACAAGCTGGAGCTCTTTCTCCTTCTTCCTCTGGATCTCAAAAATCCATGGAAAGATTATCCAATCTTTCTCATTCTCTTCCTGTGTGTGTACTTCTCCCACCCCTTCTCTCTCTCTCCAATTCTCCCTCTCTCTCTCTCTCTCTATCTCTATCTCTCTCTACAGTTCTCTCTTTCTCTCTCTGTAAATTTCGCTTACTTTTCTACCAGCTTCCGAGTTACAACGAGGAGACGGCATTGACTTGGAGTGTTTGTTTTCTCGCATCTATGTGTGTTCGCATTAGCGTGCGCACTTCCCTTAATCGCAACACTGATTCCGCCACGTGCGTTTCTGATTTGATCAGACGGCTTCCGACCGGTCAACAACATTGCCGTCTTACACTGTGGTCAGGTCACACGTACGGGATTGAAGCTCGGTTGTTGTTGCCTTGTTGGTCTATTTTTTATTTTTTTTATTTTTTATTTTGTTTTATTTTACTAATTTATTTTATTTATTTTGATCCCAATGTCCTCCTCAAGAAACTTCCACAAAGACTCAAAAATGTGATAGTTCATATTTTTATTTGGTCAAAGAATTCAAATCACCTTACCGCTTAAAACTCCAAGGCATTATACTTCGGTGCATAGTAATTAAAAACTTTGAAATTCAAACTAAAATTGGACAACGAATCTGAAATTTAGAATCTTCGAGTTATCCGAATTTGGCGGAAATAGAAATCCATAATAAATTTTGTTTGAAAAGTGCTTTTGGCAATTTGGCCAAAAACAAAAGGAAAAGACTGGAAACTAACAGTCTTTTGGAAAAAAATCTCTACTTATTACTAGCTTATAAGGAAAAGGAATAGTCTTTTCTCTACTTATTACTTGCTTACAAGGAAAAGAATCTTTTCATTAAAAATAAAGAAAAATAATGAAAATGATTTGAAAACTTTGAGTTTTAATGATAAGGACAACATAAAGGGTAAAGTGAATTGTACCATGATTGACTTTTTAATGTAAAAATATAGTTTTTCATTAAAGTGAACAGTACCATGAGCTTTTCGTTAAAATTCCCTTAAAAATAAGGGAATGTCTTTCCATCAAAATAGGCCACAATTTCAATTAACTTCAAGAGCCAAATGTACAATTGCAGTTAACTTAAAGAGACAAATGTACTTTTCCCTAAATACGTGACTATGGAAAGCCTCAAATTACCATTTTATTAGGTGTAGTTTACACATGACATTGCATCATTAGTAATTTAGTATATAACATCACAATGACATTGTACTTGTGCCTCTTAAGTCATCCTACACTTGAGATACTCGTGATCACTGTTGTAGCAACGCTAGGCGGCTGGTCACCGCCCCTATTAAAGCCTAGGCGTTTGAAAATTAAGAAAATGCGCCTAGACCTGCTGAGGCGCTCGCCTAGACCGCCTAGCCCGCCTAGGCACCAGTCTAGGTTGCAACTCACTTAAACAAAATATAAATAACTTTCATTTTGCATTTTATCTTTCTCAATAAATTGTAAGAGACTTGTTGAATACTTAAATGAACACACATTATATGCTTGTTCCCCATTTTATCATTATGTACCATTGTTTCATAATATATATGTAATTCTATTTTGTAGTTTATATTGAAATTATATATATATATATATATATTAAGTATAAATAAACACTTATTTACACAAAATATAATAGATTTACTTAAATCCGCATAGTCTACCTAGGTGCCCGTCTAAACTCCGTCTAGCCGTTTAGGTGCTAGGCCCTAGCTCGCCTCCTGACTAACGTCTAACGTCTTTTAAAACCTTTGCTCGTGATAGTCCCACACTCTTATTAGGGACAGTTGACATTGCATCATTAGTACATGACATCGCAGTACGTTGTACTTGTGTCATTGAAGTCATCCTACACTTGAGATGCTCATGATAGGCCCACACTCTTATATAAAAAGGTTAAAACACATGACAATAAGTGATTAGCTTACGACATCATAATAACGTCTCATTGTAAGGTACAAGTAAATTTTCTCTCCTTTTACTAAAGGAACCTTTGTCTATATGACACCCTTCAAACCAGAATAAAAGATAACATATCGTCACTGTACCATCTGTGTAGTCAGTAAGTTCCAGGTGGAGGTAATTTTCTTTGCTTTTAATGCGGGAACCTTTGTCTATAGCCAAAATAGTAGACAGTGACATTTATATGACACAATTAAGACCAGAGGAAAGTGTCGATCATGGTCATGCATTGTTGCTTTCATCAGTCCTTCAAAGTCCCAATACCACTCGCCAACATGCAAACACAGACAAAGTGCAGGCACGGCACCATTGCATGCCTGCTAGGGTAAGGCACATGAAGGCCAATCACTACTTTTCAAAGGAAAATACCAGGTGGTCCTTGGACCACCATTCACAAATATTTTCAAAGCGGATAACAAAAATAACGTGATTTTCACACATCTTTTTCTTGTACACTCTTGTTTAACAATACTTAAGTTCCAACCCAAATTTGCACGATAGAATGAAAATTGACTAACATAATTACCTGTAAGATTTTAGAATTTCAATTGACAAAATCTGTTCCAAAGTGGTTTTGTTTTGCTGACAAATTATATCCAATTATCCATATAAAATCATAACTTGTCTTCAATTACTTCATCTATACATGGCTGAAGCCGAGCGTTTTGGAGACTCCCTTACAAATCATCTCGTTCCTCAAACGCTCAACGTCGTCCCATCTCTCTGCTTCTGCATAGACGTTTGACAACAAAACATAATCTGCATCCCTTAGAGGCTCCAATTTCGCAAGCTGCCGAAAGCTTTGTTCCGCCAATTCTACGTTTCCATGTACCCTACAAGCACCCAACAAGGTCCTCCACAGCAAGGAGCTTGAGCCGCAAGGCACAGTTTTGATCATCTCGTAGGCTTCTTCAAGCAATCCCGTTCTGCTGAGAAGATCAACCATGCAACCGTAATGCTTATTGTCCGGCATGATATTGTATTCTTGAATCATGTGATTGAAATACCGGCGTCCTTCTTCCACCAAACCTTTGTGGCTGCACGCAATGAGAACGCCGATGAATGTAATCCGATTAGGCCTGACTTCGCCATGCTGCGTTTCCATAGTTTTGAACAATTTCAGAGCCTCCTTGCAGTAACCATGTACGGCCAGACCCACAATCATGGCGTTCCAGCAGCCGACAGGTTTCATTTTCAGCTCATGGAACACTTCCCAGGCTGAATTCACTTTTCCGCATTTCGAATACATATCTACAAGGGCAACCCCCAAATACCCTCCAATCTTATGGTGCTTCAGGGACTCGTGGATCTTCCTTCCAATCTCCAACGTGCCGGTTTCAGCACAAGCACCCAAGATCGATACGAGCGTTACTTCAGTAGCTTCCACCTCGGCAACTTGCATTTCACGGAAGAGCTTCAATGCTCCATCATAATCTCTAACCTGAACATACCCAGCAATCATAGAATTCCAAGAAACTGAATCCCTCCCCGTCATCTCTCGGAACACCATTTCCGCAGCCTCAATGTTGCTCAACCTAACATGCCTTGCCAACAAAGTATTCCAGGAAACCACATTCTTCTCAGGCATCGATCGAAACAAAGAATCCGCGGTTTCAAAATCGTTAATCCGGTCATAAGCCGATATCATAATATTCCAAGAAGCAACACTTCTCTCAGTCATTTCGTCGAACACGCACCGGGCAAGTCTCACAAACCCACACTGACAGTACACAAAAAGCAACGAATTCTGCACATACAGATCACGATCGAACCCCAACTTCAAAACTCGGCAATGAATTTCCCCTCCCTTTCTATCCACCCCAAATCCGTGCGATTTCACACCATCTTCCATCTGCTTCACCACTCTGGCGCAAGCCTTGAGCGCGAAATTGAAGGTGAAGTGATCAGACCCAACACCCATTTCCTGCATACGGTTGTAAATTTGTATTGCTCTGACGGGGAAGACGCTGTTGCTGTAAGCTCTGATCATGGTGTTGCAGACGAAGGGGTCGTCCATGGCGGTCTCTTCGAACAGGGCATGGGCGTGCGCCAGGCATCCCAGCGGCGACAGCGACGCGAAAGCAACGAGCTTTCCAACGATGGGTTGGTGAGAGAAGAAGAGACCTGCCTTCGTGAGGAAAGCTTGGGCCGATTCGACTTGCGCCATGGAAGAGAAATGTGGAAGTTGCAGAAGCTTGGAGAGCGTGAGGGAGACGGCGAGGTTCACACTCAGCATCTTCCATTCCGAAAGCTCAGAGCTTTCGACAGCTGATTGGGATTCGATTATGTATCTGAAGAGTTCCGAAACGACGACGTTCGTATCAGATGTTATGACCATTGCAACCCTCCATCAGCAAACTATTTTGGATGGAATTTCTTTACCTACAAGGCTACAAATGTAAATACACGGAATGAGCTTAAAAGAAGGGATTCCATTTGATGAGAAGAGAAAATTGTTCCTTTACAATAAGGTCACCTCCTACGCAACAACCATCCTCAATTTTTTTCTGTTTAATTTCTTGATGAATTTTCCACCCATCAAACACTATTTGATTTCGTGTTTTCTCGTCGTTTGCACATCATATCATCGTTTTTCGAGTGATTGATCACGAATTCGCTAAAATTGTGTATCTACGATCCTGTGTCTGCCTTGTTCTTCAGTTAGAACAAGATGGTTTCCAAAAATATGTTGGCTGCTCACTGTGAGCTCTTGGTCCTCTTGGCATTGAACAGTTGCCTGAGGAAAGCGAACTTCCCTCTTGTCCGGGCAGATAATTCAGTCATGGGACCGTTACTTGCGGCTGCTTCTTTCGTGTCAGTGTCTGGTATAGGCGGTGAGGGTGGTGAGAGTTTGAAGAGGAACGAATTGAGCATGCGGATGATCTGGCTGAACGTAGGCCTTAGATTAGGGTCCTCAACCCAACATGACTGAATGATAAATGCAAGATCGGGCGATATGTCCTCCGGAAGTAGAGGCCTCTCTTGCTGCATTCTCAGACAACAATGCAAGAGTAAGCAACATAAAAAAGAATATTGGTTTTAACAGAAATGACAGACTGCACAGAATGACCGAATGCATTAACAGAAATAACGGATTGAATTCTTATACCTTGAAAGCAGCAGCATAAGCGGCCTGCAAATTGGACATGCCTTCAAAGGGCATGCGGTTAGTCAATAATTCCCATAAGACAATCCCAAAGCTATATACATCGACCTTGTTATTGTAATGCTTCTTCTCTCCCTGGCGTAAAGTTACCGTGCTATATAGCTGCAAGATACATTAAAGCAGATCAATATAGCTTTTAAGCAGATTCAGAAACAAAAACCAACCAAAAGGACCCGAATGGAACTACAAAGCTTGACTCATCAGCACATAACGTTGCATGATTGATAGTGTTCTAACATTTTGTTAAATGATACTTTGATTCGAACTCATCCTCTCCAACCCTAATTAAAATAGAAACCACGCACAGCGAAATTAGAATCCATATGTAACAGTTAAATATCTGCATCAAGTCATTATCAATGTCTATCTTTCTGCGTGTAGGAAAGTCCTTCCAAACCCAAAATCAGCCCCAGCAACCAGAGTAGTTATGGACAAATCAAGGTATAAAATGGTTCTGGCAATATTCGTATTTCAAATGAAGCATTTCCAAACCTATCTATCATAGATACACAATTGAAATGCGCCTATAAATACGTTCAGAAGGCAGAACGAGAGTTATAACTTATCGTTCTGCATTCTACTCACAACCATGCAATATTTCCAAAACAAAAAGCACTAGACCTGTCCAGTTTATTCAACCAAATAAAAGTTCTTGTATCAACAATTAAAAGTAAGGAAAACTAATGAAAAAGGCTCGAAAACTTTGAGTTTTAATGATAAGGACAAAATAAAGAGTAAAGTGAATAATACCAGGTTTGACTTTTTAGTGTAAAAATATGATTTTTCGTTAAAATGAACAGTACCGTTGGCTTTTCATTAAAACTCCCCAATTTAAGTGAGCAAGATAAACATGTTGACAAACCTCAGGAGCCATCCAGCGGTAAGTCCCAGTTTCTGCTGTCATCATCTCTGTAACCGTTTCTTCTCTTGCAAGACCAAAATCTGCAAGCTTTACATGTTTCTGATTCGCCGTAAGCAACAAATTGTCTGCAATAAGACATTTCATATGTATCATTAAAAACCATAAGAATAATAATACTAATTGAGCCACATAAAAATGCTTCATGTGATCCACGAAAACGAAACTTACTAATTTTCAAGAGTAAAAAAAAGGTCGTACCCAGTGCACAAGGCTCCCGCTTTTAAAACGAAACTTACTAATTTTCAAGAGTAATGATACTAAATTGAAAAAACAGCATCACATAACCCAGCTGAAAATAAAAAGGGCAAGCATCTAGAACTAAAGTACAGCCTAGTCTTGCCAAGTGAAGCTGCATTCTTTTACCATTTATCATTTCAAAACTGTTGGTCCTAGGATAGCATAAACTGATCATATGAAAGCAACTTTCCGAACTAAATGGAAGTCCAACAAAAAGAATAATTCAACTTGAAGAAAACTATAAGCGACATCTGCGGCAAGGGGGTAAACTTCTAGCTCAAGCACCACTGCAATTTCGTCTAATTTATTTAACAGAACTGTAAAAGGAAAGAGAAACAACGGTTCCTTTATAAGAATTGGATTCTTTACTTAATTTTATTTATTAAAAAAATGTCTGTCAATTGAAAAAGTAGGGTAGTGCTATCCCAGCACCAATTTCACCTCCCACACACCCCTCCCAAATTTCAGCCATTGGATCAGATGAATTGAAGTAGATCAATGGACAAAAATTAACAAGGGCGTGTGGGAGATAAAAATAGGTGTGTGAATAGCACTATCCGATAAAATATAAACAAGCCAATTGTTCCGCTATACATTATCCCGCAATAAAAAACCACAGAAGTGAAGTACAGCTCAAACTAGCAAATACGGTACCCGGCTTTAGATCTCTATGTATGATCCCATTGGCATGTAAACATTCCATAGCGTGAGCGATGTCCAGAGAAAATTTAATGGCTACGTGGAGTTCTAATGGATTTGGACGAATACTCATCAGGTACTTCCTAAGTGACATCCCAGGTAATAGCTCAGTAACTATCACCATAAGCGGCTCCTTACAAGCTCCAATAAACTGTAGAAAGAAGAATTAAATTAAGAATTCCAGTGAAACAATATGAAAGCCAACGGTTTGCAAACCGTTTGAGCATGCATGAACTAAAGAGGACATGTTTAATCACGGCACTTACCTTAACAAGATTTTCGTGTTTTACTCGGGACATCATATTAACTTCACGGGCAAAACGACTCTCAAGCGCAGCTCTTTCTTCGGTAGTGCTCCCACGATGGAGGACTTTGACAGCAACAATTCGATCACCGTATCTGAAAAATCATTAGACTACATGTACATAACTACTACACTCGAGAACACACAGACCACTCACAAACATTCCTCGCAATAACACAATGGTACAACCTAATTCATCTGATGACACCAAAATCAGTAACTCTCACAAATCTACAAACAAAACTTTTCAGCTGATAATCAAGACTTTCAGTCATCCAAATAAAACGTTAATCGACAGCAAATTAATCTCGAAGAAGTACATTACATTTTTTAACCATACAAAGCAAGCAAAGTAAATAGCAACTAAGTTGAGAGCATAAGAGTTGACTGAAAAGGAATTGAGACTGACCTTCCTTCATAAACCTTGCCATGTGCTCCCTCACCAATTTTCGCCCCGATAAACAACAATTTCGGGTCCACCAGCAAATTCTCGTCAATTGTCAGCTGCTGGGCAGCAATCAAACCATTCTGCGAGCCCGAGTTGGGCTCGACATCCACAGACTTCCTCAAAACCGCTTGCTCGCGCTCCCTTTCTTCTCTTCCGCCGCTCCTCACGCTGCAACTCATGCTGCAACCCTCAGACAATTCCAGAATTCCCCATTCCAACCATCTTTTCCACCTTAATCACAAAATCCACATCATCCCAAATCAATTTTCCGACCCTTCATCAAGTTTAACTCAACATTTTCTCCAATTTCCACAAAACCAACATCACAAAAAAACCCAATTTCTCCAAAGATTGAAACTTTCTTATCCAAACTAAACATTCAGAGCAGATTCTACTCCCACTACTACCAGAACTCCACGAATTTATATCACAAAAAGGAAAGAAAAAACAAGGGGAAATTGCTACCAAGAAAAAAGCAGTCAATTTTTTGTTTTTCCAACCAAAATTTATCTAAAATTCAAACTTGTAAGAACAACTTTGCTTGAGGTGGAAGACTCGTCGGTTTATAAAAGGAATTTTACAGCATAGAAAAACCAGATAAATGGGCAAAAAGCAACTTACAGTCGACGCTAAATTTTCCCGAGAAAATTCATCCGAGAAAAAGATAATTCCAATTTAAATATCAGTAATAAAGCAAAGAATCGCGACCTTTAACGTCTAATTTTTAGCTCGGAGCTTCTTTTTCTCTTTGAACTTCGACACGAAAAAGGAAAAAACCTAACCCTAGAAAGCACGAGAGAGATAGTCTAATCTCTGTTTTCCGAACTTCGCTTTCCTTTCTCTCTCTAGAAATCGTGGCGTTTTCTCTCTCTACCCACTGAGGAGGAGAGCTCCGATGAGAGATAAAAATTCCGAGAGTGTTCCGACGAGGGTTTAAAGTTCAAAACATTAGAGGTGAGAGAAAAAAGAGGAAAGTGATGTGGCGAATGCGTACGGGACACGTGGAGAGCATACAAGAAAGGTTTGCTCGTTGCGGGCGTGGCATCTGCGATTTGGACGTTCATGGTCGAGAGTAGACCTGTCAAACGGATGTGTTTGTGCTCTTTATGTTGTTTTCGTGTTATACTCATTATTTTACTAAAGTGTGTCATAATCGTTATTTTAATCGGTGATCTAACAACGATTTAACTCATTAATAGATTCTTAACGGCTAACCCAATAACGGTCTGACTCGTTAAAGAGTTAACTCGGAATATGCTATTTTTCGTGTTGTTTCTTGTCGGATTAATGGTTCGCCTAAGAAATTGCTAGCCTAGTCGAGAGGATGCTTAGATGGGGAAGTCATGTTGTGACAAAGGCATCTTGTTCGACTCGGCTCAGCTTGCGCTTGGCTTGGAAGTTGATACGTCCTATTCATGAGAGTTAGGTCAGTCGATTTACAGTATTTGAGACTATTCGTGTTCAAATTCTCATTTTTGTAAAGTAGAGTAATAAAATATCACTCTGTTAAAAAAGAATTATAATGAAAGCTACAAGGGGTTACAATTAAAATAATTAAAAATATTTATGCGTGAAGAGTTGTGTAAAGTCACATAATAGATCAACATAATTGTTTAATATCGAACACACTATCAACGAGAATCTGACTTATTCACACTAGTAGATATACTACTAGTGGCTCCACTCCCTTGGTATTAGTTGTATAAAAAATTGAAAAGAAGTTGGGAGTTAGGACAATTATCTTTTGGATTTGGATCCCATCCATCCAGATCCAAATTGTGGGGATCTTAGGGATTCTCACATATTAGTCATTCATCGTGCATCGTACGGTCAGAAATCATTTGTTTTCTTTTTATTTAAAATTAAATACAAATAGTACCTGACGAAAATTAGCCGCACGATGTACGATGAACAGCTAAGATATGGGGATCCCTAGGATTCCCACAAAGTGGATCCGGAGAGGATCCTCTTCCATCTTTTTTATCCATTGCTTTTTTTAAAATCTATTTATCATAATATTTAATAAATGAATGAAAAAGACAACTTTGAATTTTCTTATGAAGTAAGTGTGAGTATTATTTATCATAATATTTCTTCAAATTTGTATGAACTCAAATATGTATATTTTATTGACCCAAAAACAAAATGTGTCTATTTTGATTTTATATGTCAATCTTTACACCTTGATAAGGAGAGGGCGGCCATTGGCCATTAGGGATTGTGATGCTTCTTGACACTTGAGTTTGTTTCCAAAGTCTTGTTTTTGTAGTTGTTAGATGGAATTTACTTGTGTTTAGAATTACTTGGTTCACCTAATTCACCTATTCAAGTGAATATAATACAATATGATATGGTGGACTAAAACTTATTCAAAGCTAAAGGAATGAAAAACCAATTCTCATATATTCCTCGCGCTTACATCAATATTTGAAACTATTATTCGATTTTTATGGATTTACAAAATATTATATGTAGCAATGGTGTTGTTATTGACACTCTAAAAAATTTATTGTGCACTCTAAACTTGTTACCGATTTAAAAAAATTTAGATACAACAATTATATTACATCAAAGATTGTATCAACGAGGTACAATGAAATAGACAAAAATTTGGTCGATGAAATGATACCAGTCATTGCAGGCGATATGAACTTGCGGGTAGCCTTGGTGGTAAAATTAATGATTAAACAAATCGTAAACATCGGGAGTTTTATTGTCTTGGTGAATAAGTTCTTCATTTTCAACTCATTCTGTCATGGCTCCCTAGGTTCAAATGCTCCCTCTCCCCTCAATGTAGCTTAAAGTAGTAAAACAACTAGTTTTGAACTTGAACGTAATGATCGTTCAAATAGATCCATAAAATAAGGATAAGATAGTGCGCATTATTTTCTTGCACTCAAATTCGAATTTCAATTCTTAATGCATCAATGTCGACTACCTTAGCATATCCTTACGGGTTTGGTTTTCAAGTAAAATTCCCAAAATAACCATGCCATAAACATGGGTCAGAAAAAGAAAGGTAAAATTTTTGACATATCTTTTGGTCCCAATTTGTACCACCGCCATCACAACAGTAGAATCTCTTCCTTTATATTCTAATCCCCTTTCATTTTTTCTCTCATATTTTTCTTCTTTATCCATTTTTTTTATAAAAAGATTGATACACGATATTAACCGTTTAAATAAAAAGAACAAAAAAAAAAAAAAAGAGAAAAATTAAGAGATGAGAAAATCGTTATCTGTCATCAGGCCCATGATGGTATGGGAACTTCGTACCGAAGAGGACTTTTCAATGTTTTGCGCCTAGAAGGCTAGGTGCGTTGATTTTGGAGCCTGGGAGAAATATCTTAATTTTGAAACTTGCACGTGCCCAAATGCTAGTGGCCTGTAATACACCATGAACATGAAATAATAATATAAATAAATTGAGTAGTGCCTTTCCAATTAATTCATGACACGTGAGAGCGACGCGGGACACGTGAGGATTTTGGTATGGTCGCATGGGCCAGAGAGTTTGGGCCCTTTGTGAAGACCGAGAGATGGGTAGGGTTGGGACCAGTTGAGTGAGTCGGCTTCAGAGGGTGGGCCCACTGGGTGTGATTTTTCTTCTTTTAAGTTTGACGTGTCAGTGACATGAGTGGATAGGGGTCCCCACAAGTCCCATCCCCATCTGATTGGAACAAGTGTGGAGTTTCTTACACTCAGATTATCCGTGCAGGAATGAAATTCATTCTGAATCCCTGCGTCCAAAGCATTGGAGCCAAGAAGCTGGATCGTTAATATGTTCGTCAATTTCTTTGAATTAATGGTTTAAATATTTTTTATTTAACTAATAATTTACAAAAAATGATCTAAAATGTGCAACTTAAAACATAGATAGTTCAAATTGTTTAAGTTCAATATGGTGTGAACTGCACAACTAATTCTCATGTTCAAAAAAACAAAAAATGACCCCTTCACTTAACCGCCTCTAGTATAGACATATACATGCTGTTTATCCAAAGGGATCTTTATGGTATCGTTTGGTATGCAGACGGGACGAGACAGGACGGGACGGAATAGAGAGAGAGAGAGCAAAGATGTTATCGGATGGAAACAAGGAGGAAGAAGGAGACAGAGATGTTATAATTTTGTATTCCATGGATGTGGAATGAGTCGTTCCAAGGGGGTGAAACGGAACGAAAATTCACCAAAAATTCGTTCCGTGAAACAGCACGTTCCACTCGTACCAAACTTGGGACGGAACGCCTCGTCCCACTCCGTTTCATCTCGTCTCACGTACCAAACGGTAAATAGGGACTAGTTGTGAGGCCTACTCCCCAACAAATCCAAATTGTCTATTTTTAAGTCTTCATTCATAGATTATCCTTACAAAAACTAAAATTGGTTCGAAACTATTTACTCATTTGATTCTCATGATGAAATTTCAATGTTTTTATAACATAGTGTTTGTCAAATTTTTTAACTCAATTAGATGCCTTAAACATTTTCAATTTGACTAATATTTCAAGAATGATCCATGAAATCTAACTTAAAAAATAAACAATTAAATCGTTGAAGGTTAACGTAGAATGATCCCCACAATTATTCTCATTTAAAAAAATGAAGATCCCTTCAGATTTCACGTTGATACTAGTTAAATCCAAGGATCAGGATCCTCTCCTGAGCTAAGGATGATGATCCTCCTCATCAATGAGTGTGGACCGTTGGATTTTAATCCAACGGTTACAAACAGGAGGTCCTTTTAAAATTATAATAATTGTAACCGTTAAATTTTCATCAAACGGTTCACATCCCTTGATGAGGAGGATCCTCATCCTTAGCTCAGGAAAGGATCCTGGTCCTAAATCCAAAACCTCATCTGTGCTAGATAAACCAAAGTGTCCGTATTATTTATTGACTACCAAATATTGTTGACTTTTTAATTCTGGTTTGTTTTTTCTTTTAATGTCGAGAAAAACATGTCAGTGGTCCAGACACGTTAAAACTATTTAAAAATATATTTTTTTTCTTGTTGTATTGAAGACGAATTTGGCGGAACCAAATCTCCTTTGAACTTAAAGTAACCAAACTAAAAAATCAAATGATTCAGTAATTGAAATTTGATCTAACGGCTATAATTATTATAATTTTTATAAAAAAATTCTATTTGTAACCGTTTGATCAAATTTTAATGGTCCAAATAATTTGATATTTAAACTCAAATTTTTTGGATCAGAAAAGATTTGGTTCCTAGTTTGGCAACTACTTTTTTTGTTTAAAATAAACAATTGTTGATATTCTTATTGTACTGGTAACTACTTTTAGTTTGGTAATTTTTTAGTAACGACTTAATTTAAAAAAAAAGTATCAACAAAGAAATCAACAGCCTTTCATAACACTGTCTTAATTAAAAAAATATTAAAAAATTGAAAATCAAAAAGTGAAACTACTATATTGAGCTCTTAAAATTTGGCTTTTAGTTTCATATTCTTGAAAAATCATAATTTGATAAGAAAAAAAAAACAACACTTTACTTTTTCCTTTTTAAAAAATGAGGATAACGGTTGGCAAACTATGATTATTCATCCATTTCGAGGGTCAGGAAGACTCACAAAGACATTTCTAACACGCAACCTAAAGCAACCTAAAATGTGAAAATTCATCACCTAAACATATCCTACACTTTTTGAATGAACACATCATCCTCTCCCATTCATTCTCATGGAAAATGATCATCTCCGGATCCATTTTGTGGGGATCCTAGGGATATCCAATCTTTGATGCAGTGGATACCTAATTCTGATGTGATCAACGTGACCGTTGTTTATTAGCCAACTAGACAAAATAAAATATCGACATTGCCGGGCCACTGAAACCCTATTCCACGTCACATATGGGTAGCTATCTTACGTTGCATCAATCTGTTCATATTTTGGACCCACGTCGGTGTGATACAT